CCACCTTGGAGTTTACAAAGACTTATGGGTAGAAAAGCCACACTAAATAATTTACTACACCGCAGAGACTCAGTGCCCAGGGAGTTATGGGGAATTGGTCATGTAGGCACCTTCACTCTAACATGTACCACAATTCCAGAAGGAAAGCATAACCCATATTGTTCACACAGTGATCTATCTTACTGGTTTGGGGGAATGAATAGAACCTTCCTAAATTCCAGGTTCTACTTTATAATCAGGCTTTCTAAGGATAGCAGTCTCAGGCCTGCTGTTAATTCTTTTCTTTCTCATTAGTCTCATCAGAAGTTTGTCAATTTTATTTTTCTTTAGAAAGAACCAATGTTTGGTGTGTTGATATTCTCTATTGTGTATTTGTTTTCTATTTCATTAATTTTTGTTCATTATTATTATTTTTTCTCCTTACTTTGGGTGGATTTATTTTGCTGTTGTTTTTCCTAATTTGTTAATAAGGATGCTTGCTTTATTAATTTCCAGACTTTTTTTTTTTTTTTTTCTTGCTTTATTAATTTCCAGACTTTTTTTTTTTTTTTCTCTCTCTCATCTATGCATTTAAGGCTAGACATTTCCCTCTAAGAACAGCTTGGTCTATATCCCTGAAATTCTGATTGTTAGTTCAAAATATTTTCCCATTTCCATTATACTTTTAATTGCTGTTATTTAAAAGTACATTAATTTCCAAACCTGTAGAAATTTTCTAGGTTTTCCTCTCCTACTTATTTATTTGTGATCTGAGTATGTTGTTCTTAGGTGCCGTTGAGTTGGCTCTGACTTATAGCGACCCTATGTAGAACAGAACAAAACACTGCCAGGTCCTGTGACAGCCTCATAATCCTTGCTATACCTGAGCCCATCATTGCAACCACTGTGTCAATTCATCTCATTGAGAGCCTTCCCCTTTTTCACGGACCCTCCACTTTACCGAGCGTGATATCCTTCTCTAGGTAATGTTCCCTTCTGACAACATGACCAAAGTAGGTGAGATGAAGTCAGGCCATTCTCACTTCCAAGGAGCATTCTGGCTGCACTTCTTCAAGGACAGATCTGTTAGTTTTTCTGAGAGTCCATGGTACTTTCAGAATTCTTCACTCACACCACAATTCAAAAACATCAACTCTTATTTGGTCTTCCTTACTCATTGTCCAGCTTTCACGTGCATATGAGGCAATTGAAAATATTGTGGCTTGGGTTAGGTGCACCTTAGTGTTCAAAGAGACATCTTTGCTCTTCATTACTTTAAAGAGGTTTTTGCAGCAGATATCCCCAGGGCAATACATCATCTGATTTCTTGACAGATATTTCCATTAGTATTTATGGTGGAACCAATTAATATGAAATCTTTGACAATTTCAATCTTATCTCCATTTATCATAATGCTGCTTGTTGGTCCAGTTTTGAGGATTTTTTTATTTCTTTATGTTGAGGTATAATCAAAACTGCAGACTGTAGTCTTTAATCTTCATCAATAAGCATTTCAAGTCATTTCACTTTCAGCAAGCAAGGTTGTGTCATCTGCATATCACAGGTTGTTAATGAGCCTTCCTCCAATCCTGATGCCATGTTCTTCTTCATATAGTTCAGCTTCTTGGATTATTTGCTCAGCATACAGATTGAATAAGTATGGTGCAAGGATACAACCCTGACACACTCCCTTCCTGATTTTAAACCATGCAGTATCCTCTTGTTCTTTTCAAATGACAGCCTCCTGGTCTATGTACAGGTTCCTCATGAGTACAATTAAGTGTTCAAGAATTCTCATTCTTCTTAAGGTTATGAAATTCCCATTCTTCTCAATGGAGTTAGAAAACCAAAAGGGAAGAATGTACTCATCATTTCTCAAGCTGAAAGAAGTGAAGAAAAAAATTCAAGCCTTGAGTTGCAATATTGCAGGATTCTATAGGAGAAATAATGATGCAGGAAGCACCAAAAGAAATTAGAAGAAATACACAGAGTCACTATACGAAAAAGAATTGGTCCATGTTCATCTATCTCAGGAGGTGGCATATGATCAAGAACCAATGGTATTGAAGGAAAAAGTAGAAGCTGCACTGAAGGAATTGGTGAGAAACAAGGCTCCAGGAATTGACAGTATAGCTATTAAGATGTTTCAACAAACGGTTGCCACACTGGAGGCACTTACTCATCTCTGCCAAGGAATTTGGAAGACAGCTATCTGGCCAACTGACTGGAAGAGATCCATATTTGTACCCATTCCAAAGAAAGGTGATCCAAGAGAATGTGGAAATTATTGGAAAGTATCATTAATATCACACACAACTAAAATCTTGCTAAAGAGAATTCAAAAACAGTTGCAGCAGTATACTGACAGGAAACTTCCAGAAATGCAAACTGGATTCAAAAGAGGGTGTGGTATGAAGGATATCATTGCTGATGTCAGATGGATCTTGGCTCAAAGCGGAGAATACCGGAAAGATGTTTACTTGTGTTTTATGGACTATGAAAAAGCATTCAATTGTGTGGACCATAACAAATTATGGATAATATTGATGAGAGTGGGAATTCCAGAACACTTGATTGTGCTCATGAGGAACCTGTACATACATACACGAGGAGGCTGTCATTCAAAAAGAACAAGGGGACACTGCATGGTTTAAAATCAGGAAGGGAGTGCATCAGGGTTGTATCCTTTCATCATACTTATTCAAATCTCTATGCTGAGCAAATAATCCAAGAAGCTGAACTATATGAAGAAGAACATGGCATCAGGATTGGAGGAAGGCTCATTAACAACCTGTGATATGCAGATGACACAACCTTGCTTGCTGAAAGTGAAATGACTTGAAATGCTTATTGATGAAGATTAAAGACTACAG